ACCGGCGGTAGACAGATTTAATCCTTAGGGGCGTTAGAGTGGGCGTGGCATATTCTTTTTGGGTCAATCGATAGGTATTGATGAGAAGAATAAATTTCAGTTAAAATTTTTATTCTAGCATCAAAACTGTAGGAGCCACAGCTTTGGGCGGTTTGTGGGCGTTGGAGTGGACGTGGCACTCTGCTGAAACAAACTTGCGCTGCGTAAGAAGCTCAGGAATCTGCACGCCAAATCCCAATAGCCTAGTTTCCGAGATCTCGGCGTTCATCCGAACAGACAGACATACGGCTAGTGATCCTGATCAAGAATATATATACTTTATGGGGTCGGAAACGCTTCCTTCTGCCTGTTACATACTTTCCGACGAACCTAGTATACCCTTTTACTCTACGAGTAACGGGTATAATAAATGGAATGTTCAACAAATGCTTTTATTTATGTAAATTAGTAGCTTAAAGCTTCCTTCTCGTACCACGGACACTTCGCCATCTTTCCCGCGCCACCGCTGTCCTGCCCCGAGTTTCCAATAGGCATATTAGACCTTGAGGAAGTGGGAGCCGGAATGGGAACGGGGTTGATACGCTGATACTGCAGGAAGTCGCCCAGCATCCTGGCAGTGGCTGGCTATGGCTTCTACAACTGTTCCTTAGCGGGCGCCCTATTTTACTCCTCCCTATAGAAGACAGCGGGTCCTCCAGCTCCGCTTAAGCTGCCAAGTATCTGGTGGTGAACGTGTATGAGGTCCTAATGGAGAGGTCGTCGGAGATCGTGTTACTGGTGGTTCTGCTAAAAACATACTTCTACTAGTACAACGCAACCAAATTCTTTTGGCCAGATCTTACTTTCTTTGTGCCCGGCAGGATGTCTATCTAGAGAGCGAAGTCCCACTCGGCATGTTCCTTCCCACTGGGATTCTCTAGTGGATCTCCTCCAGCACTTCAACTATTCTGCGGATTTGCCCCTGTTGTGGTATTGCTTCCTGTCGGTGAAATCCCACAATAAAGGGCAACAACGTGTATTAGGCGTCCTACTTCATCTGCACTGACCTCCTGCAGTCGATTTTGGTTTCCATATCGCCTTTGCACTGCCAAAGACTAAATTTCTTATTCTTTGGGCCACGGCTAACGGCGTTCAACGAAATTCACTCGCTAAATCTGGTATTCTTTCTGGAATTTCCTTAGCTTATCTGAGTACCGCGCTGAAAAATAGACCCGACGAAAAGCATTGCCTCTCTCTCACTCCTATGGTTAGCTCGCGGCTTTTGTCGATGTGAGTACTAGACTATAGTAATGCGAAGTTTCTTCGGTGCGACACTGAGCTCTTCTTTTTGACAATGGAAATTTAAACATTCACTACGAAAACGTAAACAATGATGACAGGGAACAACAGAAAATGGAAGGCGCAGAAGCAACAGGCTTGGATCGATTATGCAGATCAGCTGTTATAGGATGGTAGACGGTGGATGTGCTCTATGGGAATCGTAGTTTCACATTTAAAAACGGGAGGCGCAGAAGCAACAGGTTTGGTTTGATTAGCCACAGGTCTTTAGATCAGCTGTTTACGGATGGTAGATGGTGGATGTGCCCTGTGGGAATCTGAGTTTCACATTTGACATCGATTGATAGAAAATTATATTAGTGTTGGACCCCTCCATCTTCAACACTCTATTAACATTTTTTTTGCGTGTTTTGTATTTTCAGACGGTTGAACATATCATAAGACAAGACAGGAAGTTAGCTTCGGCAATCCGAAGTTTGTATCCCCGCGCAGTTATAATTATTAAATTTAAAAAACACCGAAGCTATAATTTGTTTCATATTATTTTCCCACCAATTTTCCAAACGTTCCTATGGCAGCTATATGACATAGTCGTCCGATTTTGATAAAATTAAATTTGAAGTTCAGAACTAATTAAAAAAGTCGGACTCCAGACAAACGAAGCGTATTCCAATCTGGACCTTATGAAAGCAGAAAATAGGCTTAGTTTCGTTTACGGATCTTTAAATTGCGTGGAATTTCGTTTTACAAACCCATACATAGCGTATGCCTTTGGAATTATATAGTTTATGTGATCAACAAAAGTAAATTTGGTATCAAACATAACTCCTAGGTCCAGGTATTCATTTCTTAAGGAAATAATATGGGAACTAATGGAATTCGAACTGAGGACATTAATTAATTGTTTGCTGTACCTAACATGGAAACACATTGACAAGTTCAGAGGAAACTTATTACGAGAACACCAATTCCCCACTTTTACTAGGTCATTTTGAAAAAGTTCACTATCGGAGATTGAGTTCACAGACTTAAATATTTTAAGATCGTCCGCAAAAAACAGGAATTCAGAATTTTTTATGCAATAGCTTAAATCATTAATGAAGATGATGAAAAAAAACGGACCCAATGCACTTCCCTAAGGAAGGCCAGAAGTTGCCGCATACGGGTTTGAGAAAACACCATTGCACTCTACTCTATAAATACTACTTCTTCTAAATATAAATAAGTTTTAAACCAATTTAGTATTGATGAACGAAATCCCAATTTCTGCAGTTATGCCAATAAAGCGTTATGGGAGATTTTGTCAAATGCTTTGGCGAAGTCGGTGTAGACCACATCAACTTGATGATGCCTGATAAACGAGTGAATGCAAAAAAGATTGAACGTAGCTAAGTTAGTGGTAGTTGACCGCCCAGGCAAAAAACCATGTTGGTTAGGACTGATGATCCGACCAGCAAGAAAAGTTAGCTGCTTAGATACAATACGTTCAAACATTTTTGAGACACTGCTTAGCTTTGCAATTGGCCTATAATTGAAACAATATTTTTGTAACCAGACTTGAATATAGGAGAAACTGTGGCAAGTTTCCATCTATGCGCAAATACGCCAGTGGAAAGAGACTGGTTAAATATCATTTTAAGGGGCTCACAAAGAACACCTATACGGTTTTTCAAAATAAATGGAGAAAGGCCATCGCAGTCTAATTTCCTGAGTCGTTAAAACTCTCAGCCGCCATATAGCAGTTAAAATCAGTGACATCTAAGCAACCAATATTTTGCATCGTGGCAATGGCATTGAGTGAGTCATCGTCATTCCATGGCTGTATAAGAATTTATTAAGGAACTCAAACTCACGCTTATGATGCTTGTACCGATCAAAGTCAGCAGCATCACCACTTTCTATGTAGCCCTTATAAAATTTATTTCAGAGATTTTTATATTTTTTTAGTCCTTGTGTGTACTATGGTAGTCTATAAGAACTTTGAACTCTAGTTTTAGCGTATCTGCTAGTAGAGAGAAAAAACTTCATAGCTAGTATTCACATCAGCATGCGAGAGGACTTCCGCCCATCTAATATTATAAATATCACTACGGATAGAATCTAATCCACTTTATGGGGTCGGAAACGTCTCCTTCACTGCGTTGCAAACTTCTGACTGAAATCATAAAGTGTATAAACATGAAAAAATTGTTAAAAAATTATTATGGGTTTCTACTAAAAATTTAGATATAAAAAAAGAACAAGAACGCTATAGTCGACGTCCGGAACCATTTTATACCCATAACTCAGCCAAAGAAATGCGAGGGAGATGGAAATATGCATGCAGAAAATCGGCTGTTTCCGAAGTTTCACACTTTATTTGCCTATAATAAATGGTCCGATTTGAAAAATTTTTGGCATGTAGATGGTGATTATCGATACCCATCTACATGCGAAAAGTTAAAATGAACAAGAGAAAACGCTATAATCGATGGCCTCGACTGTTAGATTCACCTTACTCAGTTTAAGGGAGTGCGAGAGGGATGGTTAAAGCAACTTTGCTTTTTTCACTAACACACCTATCGTACAGCGCAATCCTATCTTCTCCTTCTATAGCACTACCTAGCCTATAGCGCCCCCAACTGCTTGGTGGTGTATTAGTGAAAACAGCTGCTTTGATCTCGAATGAATTGCAAAAAATTGATTATTATTTGGTTATAACTCATTAATGAATCAATAATATTCGTGTACATGGGTGTTGATAAAAATAACAAAACCTCATTTAAATTTTTACATAATTTGAATAATGTGGGCGCTAGACGGGTTATAGTTTTATAGTCGTTTGTGGGCGTTAGAATGGGCGTGGCACCCTGCTAGATCGACTCAGATAGTGATCCTGATCAAAAATATATACATAAACTTTATGGAATCGAAAACGATTCATTCTACCTGTTATATACGAGGGTGGTCCGATAAATACTTAGCCTCCAAAAGAAAAACGAAAATTTTGGAAAAGTGGCGATTTATTTCTCAACATAATCTCCTTTTAGCTCGATACACTTGACCCAGCGATGCTCCAACTTCTTAAACACGTCTGAAAAATACGTTGTTTCGAGGTCTGAAAATAGGGCTCTGTGGCGGCGACGACATCCTCACTTGACGCAAATTTCTGTCCAGCGAGTGACTTTTCAAGTTTGGAAACAAAAAGAAGTCACACGGGGCCAAATCTGGAGAATATGGTGGATGGGGTAGCAGTTCGTAGCCCAATTCGACCAATTTGGTCTTGGCGAGGGCGGAAGTGTGAGCCGGTGCGTTGTCATGATGGAAGAGCACTTTTTCTTCGCCAAATGGGGCCGTATTTTCTGCAATTCGGCTGCGAATCGGCCCAATAATTCGGCATAGTACAGCCCTGTGACCGTTTTGCCCTTCTCCAGGTAGTCGATGTAGATCACACGTTGTGAATCCAAAAAAAAACGGCGGCCATCACCTTTCCGGCCGATGGGACAGTCTTCGCCTTCTTCGGAGCAGGTTCACCCGGTGAAGTCCACTGTTTCGACTGTTCCTTGGTCTCTGGTGTGTACCAGTGGATCCATGTTTCGTCACGAAACGACGTAGAAACTCCTTCGGAGTTGTAAATTAGTATATTTCACTTTTTTGGTAATAAACATTTTCTTAAATAATTTTTAAACATTTTTTTACATGTTTAAAATTTGTTTATAGCAGATTTATATTTTTTGATTACATTTATAAGTTTTCGTTGTTGCTGTATATTTTTAAATTTCTGATGAAATATAAAGTTTACAAGAATTGGGTCGTAGTTGACATGTAAAATCCTACCAAGTTTTCTTTCGTTTATTTTTGACCATTTTTTGTAGAAATGTAAGTTTAGACAAAAAATGAAATATAAGTTTGCACATGTTATAAGATCCGGAAACATTGACTATGAATAACATTAGTTAGAAAATTAAAAATAAATTATTTAACGTCATTCCCCCTATTGCTGAAATTTTCGTTTGGATTTTTAACAAATCTGCAATTTATCAGGTAATGGAACGTCCAGATTATTTGATGTGCGGTTAATAATAGGTAATTATTTAGTCATGGGTTGCATTGGTCAATACTCTACAAATTTTATCTTTACGAAGTTTCCACTCTAGTAGCCTACTGCTTTTCGGATAATATTAAATATAAAAAACGATATTTTCATCAACACTATAGTACGATGGTAACTCTATTTAATGATCCTATGTCATGCGCTTTGTTAAAGCCTGAACACGTTGGGCATTGCAGCTCTTACATAGAACGTGATCATCTAGGGGATAACATCCTCGGCCTTCAGCTTCAGATGACAGTAATAGCCCACAGTCCTATTATATTTATAAAAAAAATTAGTCAGTATCCTTTTTTTTGGTAAAAATAATGTATTTAAGTTACCTCGCACTTATAGCACTCGAGGTGAAAGCTTCGATCTAAGGCGACCACTCTGACCGTTTCTTCTTGGCCGGGATCTGGCATAATTGGTTGTTTGCAGACACAACAGCGGGGAGCAAATTTTCTTTGATTTTAAATTATAGAATCAAAAAGTCATATGTATCACTTAATAAAATTACTTACTTATGAAAATCTGTAATACAATAGTTTTGATTAGTAGCATCAACTGTAAATAATAACCCATCTAAGCTTATTCCACAGACAACACATGTAAAACATTGCGGATGGTATGGCTTTCCGGTAGCTCTAAGAATTCTCTCCAAAATGGGCTTCATGCAAACCGAACATTTTTCCAGTGTTTGTAAATAATCATATTCACAATATGGTTTGCCGTCTAATGCATAAAATGGTTTTCCCTGTAAGTTTATTTGGCAGTCTGTGCAAGTAAAGCATGATATATGGTATATTTGATCCATTGCTGTGCACCCACTACTCTCTCCAAGTACACGTGAATTGCATTTAACGCACCTACCTATTAACAGAAAATATTGTTTTATTGAAATTGATGTAATATTTTAACTTACCGTAGTTTTCAAACTCTTGTATTGGATCAGGGGCTACTGAGTTACTGAGTCCCTTTTCATTATTTTTATGAACAGTATTGTCAATATAACATTTACTTCGACCATTATCATTCGTGTATAACGACTGGCTTGCTTCAATTGAATTCGAAATATTTATGTCACAGGAACTGCTTGAAATATTGTTATCATTGACGTATGAACCATACATGTTACATCTTTCCCGATGCAACATGTCTCCAGAAGGACGAGGGTTTATAGGCTCATATATTGAATCATAAGTAGAAGAACTCTGTAATAATTAATAACAATTTCTTGTATATATACTCGAAGCTAAAAATCACATATTATCCCATATATTGAACTTTATAAGGTCGAAAATATCTATTTTACTAATACATTATACATTTATTTTGAAATTGGTCAATGGAGTAACGTGTATCTATTAGTCGAGACACTAGACGGTAGCGTCCCTCCTAATTACATTTATATATATACCTGTGATAGCCCACCGTAGCAATACAAGTTTGGATTCGTTTTGGACTGCAGATTCTGAAATATCAGTTAAAAGGGATTTAGGTTTAAGATATTTCAATGGTCATAGTAATGCAGAAAGATTACGATATTTGTACTTTAATGGAGATAGCGTTATAAAAATTATTATTGTCTGAAACTTATTTAGAATTGCTAAAAACGTGTGGATACTGTTGACTTAAAAATAATTTTTTATTTCTACAATTTAATTTTTAAGAATATGGAGTATGTCGCCATAGGGTTAACTGGTTTTGACTTGAGTAATAACCTTTTCTGATTTTCAAAATTAACATCGTGACATTGTCAGTACCTTAGATACTTACCTGGATAGCGTTTTGTAGTATTTTTTACATGTCCTAGGAAGCACATATCAAGAAATACCTAGTACCTTCTCCAACACTGAAGACTATATTATCTAAACGAAAATTGGCGGTCCTTTTCAAAACGCCGCTTTGTTGTATACCTTTAGGCACGTTGATTTTGATAACAGATGTAGAATAACCAACCTCGATCTATAAGTTTTCGTTCTGTATGTGCTCATATGAGTATTAAGACAATTGGGAAAGTTTAACATCTACAGCTTTTAACTGAGCTCACACACAATATAAAAAAGAGTACAACTGGCTAAAAAATAACACAAATCGCCGACACACAGTTTTAAATCTAAAATTATAAAATAAAAAATTGGTTTACCTTCATTATAGCGCCATGTTGCAGCTCATATTGGTTTGCATACATTTGTAATGAAGGATTTAATTTCTGTTTATTTTGCGAAGAACCTGTTGGCTTGTTAAAAGCAGTGGAGGCTCGACGAAGCTCGCTATATGAAGAGCTCACTGCGCTCTCTGGGCTCGGCGGTGGCGGCACATCATCCTCTACTTCGTTCTCTAATAATAAATTTGTGCAGACGGACAGCATCTTATGTGACGGGCCCAAAGCTTTGAAATCAACATGATTCAATTATTTATTTAATTTATATATTTATTTAATGAAAACTTACCAGCTTCATGAACATTTGAGTAGGTAGTTGCAGAAATATCTGTCTCCTTTGTCACAAGTTCTTTTTGTTCTGTATTTATATTGCCATATATTAAGTTTTTGCTATACGTGTTTGATATAGGCTCCGCGAAACTGTTGGCAGATTGTGGGGGTTTAACTTGCCCTCCTAAAAGACCTTTTTTTTCCATTTGAAGTTTGTGGTAAGCCAGTGCTTCCAATTGCTGTTCTAGTATTGCCGGGTTGTCCAATGTAGTTTTTCTGTTAATTGGAATTTCGCCATTTCCGCTATCAGAATTGTTAATTTTTCTGAAAGGCATGGGTCCACTTATTGTTTTGTCGATTCCAATTAGAGGTTTTGAGTATAGCGGTTCCCGCGAACAAGAAACCTGCTTACTTGATGGAACCTGTTAAAAAGACATATACATATGTATACAGCCATATTTCATAAGTAAAATAGAAATGTACTTATAATTAAATAAAATAAAATAAATTTTACCTTTTCAGATAATAAAATCTTCAAAACAGAAAGAAAAATTTACGTCTTATAAAATAAATATGTTAAGTAAACAAATCAGTTGATAATCTGTTACTAGAAATCTCGTACAACACTAGAATGCCTTCTAGTAACTAACTTTTAAAGAGAAACAAGAGACAAGCCTATAGTCGATGCCATCGACTATTAAATACACCTTACTCAGTTATGGGGATGGCGAGGGAGACAAACAAGAGACAACAATGTTCACAATTGCACACCACGCAAGCAAATATTCTTGATCAGGATCACTAGCCGAATTGATGTTCATATCTATGTCCGTCTGCCTGTCCGTATGAACGCTGAGATTTCGAAAGCTCTAAAAGCTAGCAAGTTGGGATAAGGCAAGCAGGGTGCCACTCCACGTGTTCAGCTTTTAAGCTAGGAAAAAAAATTTGATCTAAAATGTATTGCTCTCGGCATTTCCTATCGATTGAATAAAATCAAGTTGTGTCACTGCCACTCGAACGGTCACAAGCCGCACATAATCATCCGCAGGAACGGTGATAAAAGATATAATGTTTGGTTTAGGCATGTAGATTCTAGAGAATCTAACACCCTCAAACCGTCCAAAACTGCGGCGCCTACATTTTCCAAGATTGCAATTTAAAATACATTTTATGTTGTTCCACTTATCAATACCTATCGGGAAGCCGAACATTGTTAGAATCGGACCATTAGTTAATAAGTAATGTTCTTATGTCCGTATGTATGAACGATTTTGCACTTTACAGATAATCGTTTTTATTGCATTTTCCCTTAATATATCGTATATATACGCTTTCACAAAAAATCAAACTTTCAGAACAAAAGATTTTCCCGAAAATGGTTTTGCGGTGGGCAACTTAAGGGGAAACCTATAAATCCAATCGTTTTTAATTTTGCTAATTGTATAAATATAATAATCTTGTAGAGGGTCAGAAGTTTGCAACCCAGTGAAGGAGACGTTTCCGACCCCATAAAGTATAAATATTCTTGATCAGCATCACTAGAATGTTGATCTAGCCAACACCGGTTGTCAGTTTCAACGCAAACTAGTCTCTTAGTTTTAAAGCTATCGGGGTGAAACCTTACAAAAAGTCTTATTTCTTTTGCAGATGGTATATAAGTCGGAATGAGCCGTATCGCACAATTATATCCTATAGCTTCCATAGGAATGATCAAAAAAATAATTTTTAATGGAATAAATAATGTTTTTTGACATATTAACTTATACTCTTGGGAATACCATTCTTTTAATATTTCAGAACTTCTAGTAAACGAATGATCGCATAATGAATGTCAAAATAATACATAGACCGTTAAATTTCGTTTTCGTTAAACATACATGGTAGTAAATTTAAGTGGAACATTATCTTAAAATTTTTATAATTTGTTTAGTTTTCTAAAAATCGGAAAGCTCTGTACATACAATGCTACACGGGTACGACCTCCAAGGGTATAGAAACTTCGGCATGCCGAAGATAGCTTCCTTTCTTGTTTTTGTGAAAATATTCATTTTTTAGAACTAAACCGGATCCGGATTCGGCATGCCGAAGATAACTTCCTTTCTGGTCTTTTATGAAAATTTTCATCTTTTAGAGCTAAGCCAGATCCGGCATAAGTTGTCTCGAACACTCTGCAAGTTAACAAATTTTTAACAGATTTATTAATATATAAAGACATAGGCGTTTCAAATTTTGTAGCCCATTTACACTGAAGGTTCACAGATCAATGACGTGCTTACCGGCATTACCAATTATTTTCAAACCTGGCACACGTCTCAAACTTTACTGTTGACTCACGTAGCATCTTAAACTTCAAGTAATTTTTACTCAGTTTTCCTAATTAATATTAATATTCAACAAAATTTATTTGGATAATAATAATAATAATAATAATAATTTTTAAATTAAAGAAACGAAAAATGAGCTGATTTTGCGCGAACCAAATTAGTTTTTTTTTGCTAAATCCGCTTTGGTCTATATCCTAAAGGGTGCAATGCTATGTTTGTATCATCAAATTATTTTAATACCTTAAATTGAAACCAAAATCTCTGCGAAAAATAAAAATTGTATTTACAGGATCTTGGGCAAAGATATACTAACGTTTGGCGTTCTAAGGAACTCTCACAATGACAAAAATACAAGACACCTACATATGTACCTATCGACCTATGTCGATACAAAGTTTTAAGTGGCCAGGAAGGCAAAAGGATCACATAAGAGGATAATGACAACCTTCAGATGAACTCAGTACAGATCCAAGTTTAGGATATCGACTTGTATGTATCGACTTATGTACCTTGTATATTTGCATGATGAATTTCTTTAGAACGCCAAAGTTAATAAAAGCAAAAGTGTGCCAAGAATGTTTTTGCGGGCCAGCTTGTTTTTTGTTTTATACCCGTTACTCGTAGAGTAAAAGGGTATACTAGATTCGTCGGAAAGTATGTAACCGGAAGAAGGAAGCGTTTCCGACCCCATAAAGCATATATATTATATGATCAGGATCACTAGCCGATTCGATCTAGCCATGCCCGTCTATCTGTCCGTCCGGATGAATGCTGAGATCTCGGAAACTATAAGAGCTAGGCTATTGTGATTTGGTATGAAGATTCCTGAGCTTCTTACGCAGCGCAAGTTTGTTTCAGCAGAGTGCCACGCCCACTCTAACGCCCACAAACCGCCCAAAACTTTGGCTCCTACAGTTTTGATGCTAGAATACAAATTTTAACTGGAATGTATTGTTCCCATCAATACCTTTTGATTTACCCAAAAAAAAGTTAGACACGCGACTATGCCACGCCCACTCTAGCGCCCACAAACCGCCCAAACCTGTTGCGCCCACAGTTTTCATGCTAGGTAAAAAATTTTAACTGAAATGTATTAGTCTCGTCAATACCTATCAATTGATCCAAAAAAAAAAGTTTGCCATGCCCACTCTAACGCCCACAAGTCGCCAAAGCCTAACGCCCATTACGCTTAAATCTGTCTACCGTGTCATGACCATATATTGAGATCGTGGGTATCCATTTCCCTTTTGTCCCTTTAGCTGAGTAATCTGATAGTCGAGGTAGTCGACTATAGCGCTCTTTCTTGTTTATTATAATAAATTTGTTTTAAGAGATACATCAGGGAAATAAAACGAACTTGCGAGTTAAATATTCCCTTCATCCGAATACTAGTTTTAATACACGGAAAAAAGGCTTGAAGTTCAAGACGCTAAGTGTGTCAGTAGTAAAGTTCGGCACTTTACATACCTACATTTATAAAGACTTGGCTATTGATGGTGAGCAAGAATATACATACATAGGTATGCACATATTTGTAGGGTCGGAAATCTTTCTTTAATGCGTTGGTCACTTCTGACTGAAACTCAAATATCTGCAAGGAGAGATAAATGATAATCCTTACAGGCTCAGCTCAGGTGTTTATAAACCAGCATGGTTCAATTTTCAAAAGAGAAGGAAAGCTAATCGGGATTTGCAAGCAACCTGTGTGTATAGTCTAAAAGTTACCTTTTAAAAAGGGTTGAGCCTAATTTTGGATCACGACATTTACTGTCCTAAAATTACTTTGAATGACTAGGGCAACGCCACAAAGCTTATTTTAAAAAGCAGTTGGACAAACATATTTTTTGTTTGCTTCCGGGTTTTTATTACCTTTGGGTCTCGTAGCTATCACATAAAGTCAAAAGGTACCTGAGGCAATTCATTATAGTTCTTCGATGGCTTGGGAGGTCCGTCCATCTTCGTATAAGTTTCTCTTTGCTTTTGACGTATTTTGTTAACTAACTCCGCAACGTTAACATGTCCAATGGAAGCAGACGAAGTGGTACATGAAGGCTCGTCGTTTAAAAAGGACAGCTCCTTAAGTTGCTGGTCCAAGGACTCCATTGCAAATTGAGTGAAAACTGGATTATTGTGTGTAATTTCCCTAAACGGGTTTTGTGGTATCAATCATTAATGAATCTTTAGCTATTTTGTTACAATCGGTTTGTTTTAAACTTGTTTTCTAATAAATGTATTTAACAAAGTGGCATGTATTAATTTTATTGTAATACAGACCTACGATATCGATATATTTTTCCTTATAGCGCACTCACACTATTTACATTTTAAGTTTCGCTTATTTTCGAAAAGCCTAGCTTCCACCATTTATCAAAACTTGTCTGAGAAGCAGCAATTTCGCGTTCCATACTTTAGCATAACGCAAAAGCATAAGCATTGACAGAAACAACACGATTTGAAATCTTTAATGCATTAGTGACGATAGGGTTTGAAAATGTTTTAGGAAATATTTTAGAGCGGTCCTCTTTCTTTATACCCTCTGCACACAGCCGCTTAAAAATCGCTATTGTAACTTTAAGCGGATTCCTGTTCACATAGAGAATCGCTAAAGCGAACGGCTGATCGGAATAAGGACCGTATTTCAGTTGCTCCGAAAAAAATGAAAAAAAGACGCAAAATGAGAATGATTTTGCATTTCATCATGAAAAGATATACAATCCAACGAAGAGTCAAAATTATTAAATTATTATTCTTGTAATGGCGCCATTGCAGACTAAATGCATTTCCCTACAAAAAAAATACTAACTAAAAATACTGAATCGATTTGCGTGTGCAGTGTAGTTTTCCGCTGAAGCGAATTGTGTCGACTTTTTCTGTCTCCATCTAGCAATGGTATTGAATAAAAAAGTCGCTGAAGCGGAATTTGGTCACCGAAGCGGAATGTTTTTCTCCCGTATTAAAAACGAAGCAGACAACAGCTGACACAGGCCGATAAATTGGGCCAACTTAGTGTAAATACTTTTTTGGAGTAGTCATGGCTCATTCGATAGATAACCAGACATAGTGTGACAAGGCTATTAGCCGGAAAGTAAAGTTTTGTGGTATCAGAAATTAGCTAATATTGTATTCACACATCAGCATTAATCGTAAGCTATAGTAAGGTAAGCTACATTAGCAGGTTGTCCTACAAAGGTGGGTAGCTAGGTCCCTTAACAGTTGCTGAATTCTTTAATTTTGTTGAGCTTTTTCTCTGCTGCTTTTCAAATTCTACACAATAAAATTAGTAATAACCCTCTAGCTCCACATGTCATCATTATGCCAATGACATCAACGTCGGCCAAGACGACTCTCTTATTCGACAATCGTGTCAAACCCGACTCTCTTTAATTTTCTAATAACACGTCGATAAAATGATGATGAACAAATCCAGTCTTTGTAAATGACATGTCGATTAAAGGATTAATAAATTAAAGGAGGAGATAATATGACACCTAGTGCGCACTTCCGTAGCGTACAACCTAAAACATTTCTTACTTCCAGGAAGCTGTACGCTTCTGAGCTTCGCTACTCCGTTACTTGTTGAATAAAAGGGTATTCAAGATTCGTCGAAAAGTATGTAACAGGCAGTAGGAACCGTTTCCGACCCTATAAAGTACACTTGGCCATCGCTTAACACGGACTCTTTTAGCACGAACTCGGTCTTACACGGTTACAATTTTGCTGCCATCCCCCTTTTAACACGCTTAAAACCTCGTTCTTACACGATTTCAAAATATCGATATATATATCTTTTTGATGTCAATTAACGCGATAGTGCCTTTGTGCTTGTGTCTTACGCACGGGGTGCTTGTCGAAAAAGGGGAATCCCACATTTGATCTGTCAGATGTAAGCGTGTAAGCGTGCAAACATCTTGAGATTTGCAGACGCGTAAATAAATAGTCAAAAATGTTGTGGTAAGTTAAAAGGTGGTAGAGCTTGATTAAATCAATATGTGAATACATAATTAAAATAAATAAATTCAGCTTTTACAATGTCAGATAAGAAAAACACAGCTCCTTTAAAACGAAAAGTCATTTCAATAGAAACAAAAATACAAATTCTAAACCGCTTAGACAATGGGCAAACTGCCATTCTCACTATCAAAAAGAATGAAACTGTGAAATACGACGTGCATGAAGCATTGGGTCATCTATGTATACCCTGCAGTTCCAAAATTGAGTTAGGCGCCCAATCATCACGAAGCCGACTGCGACGTCGGCAGAGAAGCCAGCGATGCCGGCAGAGCTGAGCGCAACGGCGGCAAAGCGACGCGCTCTCAGTCGGGTCCGCAAAGAGAACGCACAAAAAAGTAATTTTGGGCTCTCCCTCTCTCGTCAAGTCTCAGACGAAAAAGTGCGCGTGAAGGGAAGGAGGCCCAGCAACTAAAATATATAGACCTTTGTGCACCCTTGCCTTTTGAATAATGCGACATTTGTTCGTAAATGTTAAAACAACGATTTAAAATAATAGGTTTCTGTTTTAAAATATTTGTATTTCTTAAACAAATTTATATGTTTATTAATATAATTTAATAATATGTAAAGTTTTAAAAGTATATTTTTATAAACCGATTTGCATAGTCGAATATGTCTATAAATACCCTGCTTTTATGTGCAAGATGCATAGACCAAACGGGACATGCAAAAAAAACAACAACGGCTTAGCGGAACCTTTGTTGTTGTTGCTTGTTGTTTTTCTGGAAGGCACGCGCCTTTTTTCGTCTTTTCACTTGCGTTTACTTTAGTGAAGGAGTTAGAAGTTGAAGCAAACATACCAGCAATTTACTAAATTAAATTAAATTAGTGCCTTAAAAGTGAAAAAGAAACGATTCCCAGGTAAGTCTGTCGCAGACTAATAATATTGAAAACAGTGAGAGTAAAAAACAAGATAATCTATATTTAAAATAAGGGAAATACAAGATTCCCAAAATAGCACGTGGCGGAAAAAAAATAGCTGTGAAAAATATTAATTTTTGACGTGAAAAGCAACAAATGGTGCATATATGTAATAAACAAATCTGTGAAAGAATTTAAAAATCTTAATGAGTGCAAAGTTTCTAGGGACAAAAAATAAGAGATGTTTGTTCTTAAAACTTATATTTGTGGTTAAAATTCGATAAAAATGAATATTAATAACATTTAACAACAATTCTTACTTTTGTGTACGTATTTAAATAAAAATCTCAAACATCTCCAATTTTCAGTTCCTGGAAAAGTGTTATTTTTTTTCCGCAACTGCAAAATAAATAAATGTTTTAATAAATAATATAAAATACATAAATAATGTGTGGTTTATTTTTCGTAATAATTGTTTACAACAAAATAAAATAAATCAAGTGACCGAAAACAAAAGTTTGCTAATTTCTTCTCGATATTTTTTGCATTTTCTTATATTTTTAGACAAGGCTGAAGGTAAATCTATAAAAAAATGGAAGGCTAAATCGTTCCATCTTAAGCATATTATCCGAGGAACTTGTTCTGTCCCACAACTTACTTATTAAGTAAGTTTTTATTGAGGCTGAAAGTAACTATTGTTTGTAAGTTTAATTTTTAAAAGACTTCTGGGATTTTTACATTGAATGCCAAAGATAACATTTCTTTTATTATAAATAAATCTTACAAATAACGATTACTTTCGGTCACTCGTTTTTATTCTCGTCTTGTTTTATTTTTAAAACTAATTTTTTTCTAATACTAGATGCAATCGCCCTGGTCGATCCCTCGGAGCCTCCCGAAAAGGCGCTGCAGAAGGCAATGCGGTGCGTTAAAAACCAGATGCTGAGGAGGAGGTGTCAGCGACCCCGATAACACCGGAAACCCCCGAGCGCAATTTTTAAAATAAACAAATAAAAATAAAAATTACAACTGAAATTTTTTTTGCTGCTAAGCGCTCAACGTGCGCTGAAAGTGCGTTTTTTCGCTGCTTGAATGAGCGCTCAACGTGTGCTGAATGTGTGCTTTTATCGCTGCTCAATCGAGCGCTCAACATGTGCTGAACGTGTGCTTTTTCAGCTGCTCAATCGAGCGCTCAACATGTGCTGAACGTGTGCTTTTTCAGCTGCTCAATCGAGCGCTCAACATGTGCTGAACGTGTGCTTTTTCAGCTGCTCAATCGAGCGCTCAAGAGGGTGCTCAAAAAAGCGCTCAATGAGTGCTATTTTTTGAGCACTGATGAACCCTAGGACATGCCTATGTTAATTTCAGCACATAGCTCCATACAAATTGTGCGCTCATTGAGCGCTGAGTGATGAACTTTTTGCAGTGATTGAGTGCTCAATAAGCGCTGAATGGTACTGCAGGGTATCTACAAAATTTACCAGTAGAGCACGTGCACCAATTTTGGAGAAAATGGAAAGAGCACTTAACATTTGGATTGACGACAGCTACGAAAAAAAGATCCCTTTAAGCCAGCGGATCATTCAGGAAAAGGCACTCTTCCAGCATAGATTTCGTTGCTAGTAATGGATGGTTCGAGAAATTTAAAAAAAGGTTATCCATTCATAGCCTCAAATTTAAGGGCGAAGCGGCATCGGCCGATGATGGAGCTTCTACCACATACCCAGAAGAAATTCAGGAGTTCATTAATGAAGAGGAATTCCTGCCCTACCAAGTTTTCAATGCTGATGAAACTGGACTTTGCTGGAAAAAATGCCAAATTGAACTTTTTTATCAAAGAATGAAAAAGTAGCTCCCGGCTTTAAGACACAAAAAGATCGTTTTACACTTTTGCTGTGTAGTAATGCATCAGGCGACTTTCAAGTAAAGCCGATGCTTGTTTACAAATTAAAGGGATAGACAAGAACAAATTACCCGTTTACTGGAAAGCAAATTCCAAAGCTTGGGAAACTGCAGAATTATTTAAGGACTGGTTCTTGAATTGTTTTGTACCTGAGGTTGAAAAATATTCTAAAAAAATAATTTACACTTTAAAGTACTATTATTATTGGACAATGCCCCAGGGCATCAAAAGAAATTTAACCCATCCGTTTTTGCATACAACTGAAACCGACTCCATCTATGTAACCAGTGCTTGGAAGAAGTTTTCTATTAAAGATAGCCTTGAGTTGGTAAACTTATCTTTAAAAGAGATTAAGGTGTCAACATTAAATAGATGCTGGAGAAAATTATGGCCAGAGGTTGTTAAAAGCTCTGAAATAGAAGTGCCAAAACGTGGATTCCAGGATATATTGGACCTTGCCATTTGATTAAAGGTGAAAGTTTCGACGACATGGCAAATTATGATTTGCAAGTGTTGCTTGAAGATGAAGAAATTAATGACGAATTATTGCTTGAGATTGCTGTGAATGAAGCAAACAATTCGAAATCAGATGACGGCAGCTCCGAAGAAACCGATCCAATTAGATTATCGATAGAAAAGCTTTAAGGATTCGCATATGCTAGTAGCTTTGAATCCTGCTTTTTAAATTCAGGTCCAGTATTCGAACGACGACTTAAGTTTAAGAGAGAGTTGAAAAGAATACTTTTGCCTTATAAGGAGTGGTATAAAGAAGCTTTAAAAGCCACCAAACAATCGAAAATGACGGATTTTTTTGATAAAGAACCACTAAAAAAGAAAACATGTTGAAACAAACTAACTTAAACTGTAAATAAGCAAATGCATTTCAAATTTGATAAGTATTAAGTTTCTATAAAGTTTAACCTGTTAATTAATTATATGAAGCAACTTTTTTAATTTAATTCCAACTTTTAATTTTGGAAATATGAATGTTATGCATTTATTAAAGGCATATGCATAATAACTTTTGGTTAATTTTGAACAAATGTATGAAACTTAAAAAAAAACACACCAAATTTGAACAATACAAACATTTTTTTGCTGCCAATTTTGAATTTTGCGTACGCAACCCCTTATTTTGTACTGAGTCCATGTTTCGCTTAACACGAGGATTTCTAGGAACGTAAACCCCGTGTTAAGCGAGGCCCAAGTGTATATGTACTCTTGTCGATCTAGCTATGTTCGTTTGTACGAATGAACGCTGTGATCTCGACAACTAGAAAAGCTATAAAGCTTGCAGTAAAGAATAGTACTCAGATCGGCTAAGAGTTTAACTAGTCGAAAAGTCTTATTCTTTGTAGTGTGACCTAAGTTTTCAAAGTTCACCTTCAACACGTATAGCATGGTCTTACTGACAAGCAGCTGGGTTTGTTGCCAAACGGAAAACAAACAAGGAAGAACGCTATAGTCGAGTACCTCGACTATCAGATACCCGTTACTCAGCTAAATAGAGATATGCAAGTAGCAAAGCGAGATTAAAATGCGCCACCTACCGGCGGTATACAGATTTAAGCGTTATGGGCGTTAGAGTGGGCGTGGCAAATTTTTTTTGGACCAATCGATAGGTATTGACGAGACCAATACACTTCAGTTATCTATTTTTATCTAGCATGAAAATTGTGGGCGTCACAGGTTTTCGCGGTTTGTGAGCGTTAAAGTGGGCGTGGCAAACTTTTTTTTGGGTCAATTGATAGGTATTGATGAGAACAATACATTTCAGTTAAAATTTTCTATCTAGCACCAAAACTGTAGGAGCCACAGTTTTGGGCGGTTTGTGGGCGTTAGAGTGGGCGTGGCACTGTACTGAAACAAACTTGCGCTGCGCAGGAATCTCAGGAATCTGCGTGCCTAATCCCAGTATTGTAACTCTCATAGTTTCCGAGATCTCAGCGTTCATACGGACAGACGGACAGACGGACATGGCTAGATCGACTCGGCTAGTGATCCTGATCAAGAATATATATACTTTATGGGGTCGGAAACGCTTCCTTCTGCCTGTTACATACTTTCCGACGAATCTAGTATACCCTTTTACTCTACGAGTAACGGGTATAAAAAATAAAAAAGGAAGAGTCTGCTGGTACACAAAGCAATTAAATTAAAAATAAATATAATGTTCAACGAATGTTTTTATTTATGTAAATTAGTAGTTTAAAGCTTCCTTCTCGTCCCACGGATGCTTCGCCATCTTTCCCGCTCCACCGCTGTAAATTCTTGCGAAAGTTCTGCTGAACGCACATGACTAATAATTATGATTCAAAAGTTCTTGCATCTTGATAATCATTCATCATGCGAAAATTCTTGCACCATGATTAGCAAAAAAAAGCGTAAAAATAGTACTCTCACTTTTCTTGAAACATAGTACATTAAGAACTAACAGAATTATTACTAGAAAATCATGAACTAATTTAAATTCTTTACAATTGTCTAGGCCTTTTATTTTCAATATTTTTGGGCAGTTTTTGAAGTAAAAAATATACTTTTTTTGCCGTCCTAATATATCATGAGCGTTTACCAGACCAATACTGATTACTGATTACTGATCCAACAGTGATGAACAGTTGATTTTCGAACCGTGCCTATCGCATATGCAATAGTCGCAATATTTTACTCAAGCGTGGCAATTTGAACTTAATACGCTCTGTGCACTAAGGTGGAAAACACCGATGTTTTAATAGAAAAAAATGATCGGCTTTTGGTATTAGTGATGTAAAAACTTACGGTAAGGAGAACTCATGGTCAATATCCACCGTAGCTTCCTTCACTTCCAGTTGACTATCTAAACGATCCGTCGATAAAATGTTCTCTTCCCTTTTTAGAGCTATTAATCCAATCCGTTGATAGTTCTTTTCTCTTGCTCTTCGATTTCAGCAGTAGAGGCGGAGCTTGGCAACATATAAGATGTAAGATGTTCTGAAAATATCGATGAAATCGATGTTTCTCCACTTCTGCTGGCGCATAATTCGTAAAAATTGCAAAACAACGCAAAACTAAATTCAATTCGAACGCTAGCACTTAGAAAGTTTTCAGCGCCAAGAAATTATTTCATTGCTATTAGCAAATTAATCAATGATGAGATTTCAATTAAGGCAAGCGTAGTGAAAATTTAACTGGGACTGTTTTTTGTAGGCCAACAGTGACGCCACAAAAAGTTTCACAAGCTAGAGCCGTTTGGACCCATTTACACATTTAAACCAACTTCTTCTCATACGGTTCTTTGACTATATCCATTTTTAAGCAACTATTTTAAGAGGTGGATTCGCCTTCGAATCGCTTTTTCTTTAGATAAATAATGTACTTTTTGTTACAACAGATGCCAGGTCTTGCCAAGGACATAAGCTGAAGGTTGGCCATTTTCTTAAAAAAGAATATGAGATCAATTGCTGGGTTCCGAGCCGATGGAAGGCCAACAACAATTTCCTTATAACGGCGCCATTGCAGTTCAAATGCAATCGCTTCTCAAACAAATCTCGATACGCCAAGTACAAAAATCATCTGAACTCGTAAAAAAATGCTAAATAAAACATTGGATTACTACAGCGAGTTTTAGCGACTTTTTCCCGTCTTTTTCCTACAAGTGTATTTCTTATAGCCTAGTACTCAGATCAGCTAAGAGTTTCACTAGTCGAAAAATCGTATTCTTCGTAGTGTGACCTAAGTTTTCAAATTTCGCCAAAAGGGAATGTAGCATGGTCTTACTGACAAGCAGCTGGGTTTGTTGCCAAACGGAAAACAAATAAATTGAAGAAATTTAAAGAGGAGGAGTCTGCTGGTACACAAAGTATTTAAATTAAAAAAAAACAAGGAAGAACGCTATAGTCGAGTACCTCGACAGTCAGATACCCGGTACTCAGCTAAAGGGACCAAAGGGAAATGTAGATACGCAAGCAGCAAGCGAGATTGAAATGCACCTCCTACCCGTGATCTCAATATATGGTTATGTGGGCGGTAGACAGGCTTAAGCGTTATGGGCGTTAGAGTGGGCGTGGCAAACATTTTTTTGGGTCAATCGATAGGTATTGATGAGAACAATACGTTTCAGTTAAAATAGCATCAAAACAGTAGGAGCCACAGTTTTGTGCGGTTCGTGGGCGTGAGAGTGGGTGTGGCACCCTGCTGAAACAAACTTGCGATGCGCAGGAATCTCAGGAATCTGCATGCCTAATCCCAGTATTGGAGCTCTTATAGTTTCCGAGATCTCATACGGACATGGCTAGATCGACTCGGCTAGTGATTCTGATCAAGAATATACATACTTTATAGGGTCGGAAACGCTTCCTTCTGCCTGTTACATACTTTCCGACGAATCTAGTATACCCTTTACTCTACGAGTAACGGGTATAATAAATTGAATTTTTAACGAATGTTTTTATTTATGTAAAATAGTAGTTTAAAGCTTCCTTCTCGTCCCACGGATGCTTCCCCATCTTTCCCGCGCTACCACAGTCCAGCTCCGAGTTCCAATAGGCATATTGGACCTTGGGAAAGTGGGACCCGGATTGGGAACGGGGTTGATCCGCTGATGCTGCAGGAAGTCGGCCACAATCCTGGCAGTGGCTGGCTATGGCTTCACCAACTGCGGGCGCTTTATTTTCCTCCTCTCTATAGAAGTCAGCGGGTCCTTCAACTCCGCCTAAGCTGCCAAGTATCTGATGGTGTACGGAGTCCTAATGGAGAGGTCATCGGAGATCATATTACTGATGGTTCTGCTAAAAAGATACTTCTATTAGTACAACGCAACCAAATTCTTTTGGCCAGATCTTACTTTCTTTGAGAGGCCACCCCCGGCAGGATGTTCTTGTAGAGAGCGAAGTCCCACTCGGCATGTTCCTTCCCACTGGGATTCTCTAGTGGATCTCCTCCAACACTTCAACTATTCTGCGGATTTGCCCCTGTTGTGGTATTGCTTCCTGTCGGTGAAATCCCACAATGAAGGGCAACAGCTTGGATTACGCGTCCTATTTCATCTGCAATGACCTCCTGTTGTGTGATAGACCAATTGGTAAGGTCTGTCTCTGATGCAAAAGGTTCCCGGTTCAAGTACGCACCGATGCAGAGTACGCTGTATGATTTATAAGAATAGTATATATCAATATATATCATAAGAATAATACAATCAATTGTAATTAGATGTTGTATTTAAAAAGTTTTCAGATTTCAAGTAAGCAAACCAATTAACCCCCATGCCGCTAACACTCTGAGCTGCACCTGCGTTTTTAATCTTGCGGCAGAATGCTTTTGTAAGATGACACAAAAAGTTTTTCGTATAAATCTTTTGCCAAGTGTCAAAGTGATCCCATATTAGGGTCAATATGTTGACCTTCGTGTCAGATATTTATTGACACAAAAAGTTTTTCGTATAAATCTTTTGCCAAGTGTCAAAGTGATCCCATATTAGGGTCAATATGTTGACCTTCGTATCAGATATTTATTGACACTCACTAGGCTTACGTTGACACCTAAATAGGGGCATATTGACAATTTCTTTTTTGGTGTATAAAGAATGTATATTCGTTATCAGGATCATAATGTGAGTCGATATAGCCATGTCCGTCTGCTTTAATATCAACGGCGAGATCGAAAAGGAACGATCGGATATAACTTGATCAGATAAAATTGCAAATATTTCGCGCAGTTACTTTGCTATTGACATAAGTCCTTCCATCAGGATTAGAGTGCGTCCTGGTCCGACAATTATGTATATCTTAACCTTAAAATATCGGCTCGCAGAAGCTAGTTTCCGTTCTCGTTATGGCAAAGGATTTGATAAAATTCAGCACCAAAACATATTTTATTCAAAAATGTATCTATTTATTTTATAAGAGTGTGTTGTTTAAGTTGTTGTTAGGAAATGTTATTATTGTTGTTGGGTAACAATACAAGGAAAACGAACAGATTGTTTAAAGTACAACAAAAAAAGGATAATAAAGTTTCCAGCTATACCGTTTTACAAATTTTTTAAATTAATTTATGCAAAAAGTATAGAATACCTCAGTAGGACAATATTTGTTTCCTGAGAAATTCCTAAGAAAAAACATAAATTGTTTAATTAAGGGGCTTAATGACTATAATCCCGACGTACAAAGGTGTAAATTTCTATAAATGTAGAATTCAGCAGAGCTCTGTCGACATCAGCGTTGTAATTTTGTTAAGGATGGAAATTTAAATATTTTTTGGTTTATTTAATGTAATATACTTTTTAATTGAAAACAAGAGAAAACGCCATAGTCGATGGCCTCGACTGTTAGATACACGTTACTCAGCTTAAGGGAATGTGAGAGGGATGGAGATATGCTTAAAGAAACTCTGCTTTTTCACTTACACACCTAGCCTATAGCGCCACCTATCTTCTTCTAGGCTATTGCGCCCTCAGCGGTTTCGTGGCGTATTAGTGAAAACAGCTTAATTGCTGCATATGGTGTGCAATCGATTGAATTGCAAAATTTTAATTATTATTTGGCTATAACTTTTAATGGACTCTGGTCCGATTTCAAAAAATTTTAACATGCAAGTAGGTATTGATAATAAGAACAAAATCTCATTTAAATATTTACAAAACATTTATGGGCTCAAGACGTGTTTTAGCCTTATAGTCGTTGGTGGGCGTGGAACCCTGCTGAAAAAAACTGGGACTGCGCAGGAAGCAAAAGAACCTGCATGTCAAGTTCCAAAGGGTCGTGACACCCTGCTGAAACAAACTTGCGCTGCACAAGAGGACTACGAATCGGCATGCCAAGTCCCAACATTCTTGCTCTTATAGTTTCTGAGATCTCAGCGTTCAAATGGACAGACGGACATTGCTAGATCGACTCGGCTAGTGTTCCTTATTAAGAATATATATACTTTGTGGGGTCCGAAACACTTCCCTTTTACCCTTTTACTCTACGAGTAACGGGTATAAACATGGCTTTGCATTACAGCTTTTATTTTAATTACCGAACAAGCATATATTAAAACAAAAGCATCAAACTTAATTTTTCACAACTAAGCTACGGATAAACAACGGCAAAATCCCAGTTTAAAGCATTTTGGAAAAGTTAACATTTAACGGAGTTGATCTGCTATCTTGGTATCAAATTATATTTTTAGAAAACTAAACTAATTGTACAAATTTTAAGATAATGTTCCATTTCAATTTACAACCGTGTATGTATACCGAAAACGAAATATAACGGTCTAAGAATTATTTTGACACTTATTATCCGATCGTTCCTATAGCTGCTATATGATGAAGTCGTCCGATTTGATTTAAATGTTATTCGAATTCGAAAATGATAAAAGAATAATATTCCCAAGAGTATAAGTTAGTATGTCAAGAAACAACAAGATTAAATTTTTGTATACCCTTACAGAGAGTATAATGATTTCAGTCAGAAGTTTGCAACGCAGTGAAGGAGACGTTTCCGACCCCATAAAGTATATATATTCTTGGTCAGCATGACTAGACGAGTCGATCTAGCAATTATTTAATAAGTATAAGTATTAATATTAAACAAATCTTATTTACCGGAGTTTGATCAAAAACAACGTAGGTATAAATATTTCCTTATTATTTACCATTAAATACCCGATCATTATTATATCAGCTATATTATATGGACCGCTTTTTAAAAAATTTAGTTCAAAATGTTAAAGTATTTAAATAGTGATAGCCCTAAGAAAAGAAAATTATAAAAAACACCCAAGTTATAATTTTTCCAACAAAAAATTTCAATATTTTTCGGTTTATTCCTATTGGAGCCGAAGGATAAAGTTGTCCGATATCTTTACAATTTTATTCAAAATTTTGAAATACTAAAAGAATGATATTGATGTCGAAAAACACAAAAGTTGAAATTTTTTTTAATTTTTTCAAAAATAGTTTTTGCAAAATTTTTTTGTTAAATCAAAAGTTGCTCTGCTAACTTTATGCACATGGTTAATTTGATATTGAGAATCTTCTTGTATCAAATTGTACTTGGAATCGTTGGTTTGTCAAAACTATTAGCTAATAACCGCTGCACACAATCTATGTTTATGCAATGCCATAAACAGGCCCATAGGTTTCATAAATGTGAATACATGAAAGTTCACTACGAACTTAGATTCAGTTCGTGAAATGGTGAGGCGCAACTCTGGTGTCGTTAGAGGGGTATTTTTTATTTGATCCATACTTATCTAAAAATTGGTTGTTGTTGTAACTTAAGAATTGAATAAGATAAATGACAGCAAACTAACTTTAAGGATTAAAGGCGGGAGCACTACTACTATTTTGACCGCAGCTGTTTTTCTATGACTGTGGCCTGTTTTGATTGTAACTCCCTTAAAAAATCAAACAAAATTTTAAGTATCGGGTTCGAGTGGCGCTTAACAAACCAATCCGTTCGTCTGTAATTGCTGTTCAAATATAGCAAAAATGTGAATTTTAAAGCGACTAAGATCTATAATAATTTATCGAGGTATATTTTGGATGTTACTTGTGTAATTTTTCGTCACAAAATTTGGTTTCAGCACTTTTGTGTGTTTGAGGTGTTGGAAGGCGTATCATCTATATTTATTTTTACGGAAACAATTCAATGTACGCTTTTGGGGCACGGCTTTAAATGTGTTTGCCTAATGTTTCGTTTGAAATATTTTCAGATGTGTTTCAAAAGAACTATTATAACAACATTTTAAAGATATTATGGACTGAGAGGGAAATCTGAGCAAGCCCACCCGAGGTTACAAAAAAACTCTTATCAAACGCGTTCTTGGAAATTGAATCAAGATAATCAAAACAAAAAAGGAAGTTAGCTTCGGCAAACCGAAAAAAAAATACCCTTGCAGCTTAGACCACATCATTAAATTATAATTATAAGTACATATACTTGTATATACATAAATATACCTATAGTTATTATGACAGCTATTTGATAAAGTCGTTCCATTTTTACATAAACAAGAAAGAATGTTAGCTTCGGCAAGTCGTACCAGTACTCTTGCAGTTATAAGAAATAGTCAATGAAAATTACATAAGGATTGTTGTTAGCTTCAGTGATATTTAAAAAAACGAGCTAATTACGGTAATAATAATAATTAAATATTATATCTCGAGTTATATAAGGATTTCTGTGTCGGATCCTGGATTTGCTTGTAGAAGGAGGGGGGATACTCAAACCCAAATTTTTGTTGCATAGTTTTTGAATACCAGAGATTTATTCATCAAGTTCCCCCGTGTATCTTCGCTTGAAGTATTTTTATTATTTATTTTTTTTTTTTATTAGATCGACAACGTATCCTCCAATACGTTGCAAACTTCTGACTGAAATCATAATATCTCCTGTAAGGATATAGAAATAACCCTTCATTTTATGTCCCGTCCCTTTAAAATGGAATGTAGGCTCTTACTTATATAGAGCATCCTTACGCATATACATAAATGCGACGAGTGACATTGTTTAGATGTATGTACTTTAAGTGTCGAAAATCCCTCTAATGGTGGAAATTTATATGTATTTAATCTGTACAATACTAGGCGTACCAATCGAGTGAAGTATAGTTTTAATAAATCGTTAGAATCGAAAGCCGATTTGCTTAGAGTAATATTTTACGAAATATCAGACCATCTCCTACCGTTACAGATTCAGCTTTCCTGATATTTACTTACCTAGAACAAAAGACCATTATAGAAGTAACATTTTTTCGAACTGTAATTTTTTCTGCCCGGCCTTCCAGTCAGTCATTTTGCGTGCTTATCGAGCAGCGTTTTGCTTTCAAGCAACTTTTAATTAGAGATTAAAGTTTCTTATCAGGCGTTAACTGCAATTCACGAACGAACATTCATATAATGATCTTTAAAAAATATCATTAATATGTGTTTTTAAAGAATAAACGTTATTCAACTTTGCGACCACTTATTTTCGGTTTGTTTAAAGTTTGAGTAAAGATCTTTTTTTCTAGTTCAAATGTAAATGTTTGTACATATTTACTCTTCTTAATGAAATATAAAGTCTTTCCTAGCATGTTTAGGAACTCTTTATGTATGTTATAAGGCAACCCGTAGAGAGAGATCAAATAACTAAGAGTAGGTAAAAGTTACTGAGCTGGGGTCGAGTGTGTCGAAGTCCGATTATTGTGAGATAATATAAAGTACTCGGCTTCAGCCTGAGCACCCTTCCCTAGTGATAAAGAAATGTTCTGTCGTACAAATCGCTCACTAGTATGCTCATCTTTTCCTTTGTTGGTATGCGTGTATTTATTTAGAAGGCATACACTTATATGCATGCATATACTTAAATACTATGTACCACAACTATGTACTACATGAGCAGATGTGGGTTCTCGATTTATTCGAGGTATTTAAAGTGAGTGTTTTCACGTAATCCGGCTTAATTTGTAGTCAGCGGTCATCGTATTCGTATCGGTTTAATTCGCGGTCGGTCTATGTATTTCTCATTTTAAGAAGTATAAACAAAGTGAAGTTATATCTGTGCTGTTTAAGGTAAAAATATATATTTTTACTTTATAAAAAGAGTAGAATTTCAAATTGTGCTGTTTACTTTCCCCAGGCTTTCCCCAAGGGGTCAAGCGTGATGGCGAGGATAAAAAACAAATGCCTATTGGTTGGAATCCTCCTGACTGTGTTATTAACAATACCAGCAAAGGGCGGTAAGTGCTAAAAAAATAAAAAGAATGGAAAAGTTTAATCATTAGGCTACAAAATTATAGAATCTTGAGCTTTCAATTTTTATTGAGCAAATATGAGGAACAAAAGAGTAAGCAGCAACAAGTGCTGGCTTATCAAGAATTTTAAAATCTCTTTCTAGAATTTCTTCCTTTAGATAATATGAGAAATATAGTTGCCTTCGGCGATCCAAAGATTTTGTACCTTCGCCGAAAAGTTTTTTGTCTTGATCAGCTGAATAAGGCAGTTATCCAGTTTTTACAAAAACAATTTGTCTTATGACTGTTATTAGATATTATTGCGGCGGCCTACATTTGTGCAGAAATTTGTAGCGTCCAACTCTCATGCGGCTCTTATAGTGCGGTTTAAGACATTTAAGGAATACCTGAAGATATTTTTCTGGGAAATTGCTTTACAGACTAGCAAATTTTTGCATTTTGAATACAATATTGAACAATATCTATTGGTTTGTTATTTTTGATCATATTCTTTTCCTCTTCGGCATATAGAAGTATTTTGTTATTTTAGAATTACAAAAAAATTTTTCTTCAAAATGTGACTACTAAATCGTACAGCTGCTATAGGAAGTATCGCAACATTAAAGTCAAAATAATACAAACATCGTTATGTCTCGGTCTCGACAAAACATATGCGCTAGTAAAGGGAAATGTAGCAAAATCTTCATATTTCTGTGATTGTTTTTTAATTATACAAAAGCTATGTATTTACGTTGCTCCAACAGGAACGACCTACAACGGTATATAAACTTTGGCTTACCGAAGTTAGCTTCCTATCTTGTTTTCAGGTTATCTAACTGAGTTTCCCTACTGGGAGCTCTCAGGCAGTGGGAGGGAGATAGAGATATACAAGTAGAAAAGCGCCTGTTTCCAAAAATGCACATTTTAGACGGACATGGCTAGATCGACTCGGCCAGTGATCCTGATCAAGAATATATATACTTTATGGGGTCGGAAACGCTTCCTTCTGCCTGTTACACACTTTCCGACGAATCTAGTATACCCTTTTACTCTACGAGTAACGGGTATAGTTATTGCAGGGCCGAACACACAAAAAGTATGGTAAAGCAAGAAACACCTTTCTGGTCCAAATTTTAAAATGGCATAAAAACCATGTAAGTTGCATACCATTTGAATGCCGCTATATAAACCAACTTTTTATCAACGCGATAGTTAAGAGATAAATAGAAATTCTGTTTTTATTTCCGACTTAGGCATAAAAAATCGGTCATCAAAAGAACTCTGTGTTATTTTTCTTACTTTACAAATAAACAGAAGCTGATCAAAAGTGAAGTTTATGTTATTATACCCGTTACTCGTAGAGTAAATGAATAAAATGTATTTGTTGGTCAATATGGGTTTTGTTTTGATTACACATTGCAACGCGGAATAGTTTACAGTAATGTGGGTTTCAAAATATGAAAGTAGTCAAAGAACCCGAATGCGAGGAACCTGTTATAAATGCTTAAAAGGGTCCAAGCTGTTGTAGCTTGTGAAAATTCTCGTGGCGTCACTGTTGGCCAAAAAAAGTCACAGTTCTATTTTCAATTCGCTTGCCTTAAATGAAATCTCATCATTGATTAATTTGCTTATATGAATAATTTCTTATGAAAGATAAAGTTGCTGAAGCGAAATTTGGTCGCTGATGCGGAAGCCCCCTCTGTGTGAAAAGGCTATTACACTCCAAAACACTTAAAGTATGCTAAGAATGTTAAAATCGGACTTTTAAAAGCAAATATTGGAGTTGAAACTAGTTTGTGTGGTGTGCAATTTTTGGAAACAGTCGCGATCGCTGCTTGCATATCGACTATGGTGTTCTCTCTTCTTGTCATTAAGTTTCTTGCTGCAGTAAACCCAAACAATATTTTCTAAATTGAAGATGATTTTAGGATACCAAGAGGTGTACTGTCTTACCCCTAAGCAAATCGATCGTTTATTTTTATTAATGTAACCTAACCGTACATTTAAATGTTTTTCATAGTTTTGAACTAATTTTATGTTTGTTTTTAATTATAGAACCCACTTGCAATATAGGATGTCCGAAATGTAAGTCACTCCAACTAAAACAAATGTATTAGGATACTAACATTTTTTATCTTCTCATAGCGGATAATGAATTATTGAAATATATACCTGGAAATTTTTATGACTACTCCTTCGACAGTATTTTAACCATTGGACTGAGTAGCGGGGTTTTCAGTGAATCCGATGATACCAGTCTCAAAGTATCCGGGTCAGCAAAAATTTTTTCGAAAGGAAACTGTGGGTATACTTTACAGCTAAGTTCCGTAAAGGTGTCCAATACAAAAGAGTCCGTAGAGAAAAGGATTTTGAACAACATTCAGAAGCCAGTGCAATTCACGCTGGTTAGTGGACTCCTGGAGCCACAAATTTGTTCAGATACCAGCGACTTGGATTACTCGCTGAATATTAAGCGGGCAGTTATATCATTATTGCAATCGGGAACAAAAGTGGAACCCGAAGTTGATGTTTTCGGTCAGTGCCCCACGCATACTTCGACATCGAAAGTAGGCAATGCGAATATAATTACGAAAGTTCGCAACTTAAACAATTGTGCACATAGGGAGCAGATAAACAGTGGTCTGGTGTCCGGGAAAGTGAACGAGAAAGCTGGTATCACGTCCAGCCTACTATTGCAGGCGAATTATATAAAGGAGTCAAAGATTGTAAACAGTCTTCTTGAAAGTGTTCAGCTGACAGAAACATACAAGTTTATTGGGTCTACCAAGGGAAATTCCGAAATCAGTGCAAAGGTAGTCACAACTTTAAAACTAAAAAATCCTACCGGGACGAAAGCTAACTCGCCGCCTACTGGCTCCAATGTAAGAAGCGTGATTTTCCAAAGACCAGAAACCTACACATCGAAAAATATAAACGCGTTAAAAACGATACTATCTGATCTTGTGGATTCGACTGGCGATTATGTGAAAAAAGAAAGCGCTAAAAAGTTCGTAGAGTTTATTAGGTTGCTTCGTCAATCTGATAGTGAGACTTTATTAGAACTGGCTGCATATCCACATCCGAACAAAGTCTTGGCCCGCAAGGTATACTTGGATGGATTGTTTCGCACCAGTACCGCAGAGTCTGCCAGAGTTATACTAAAACAGCTTCCTAAGTTTGATGATAAGGAAAAATTACTAGCGATACTGTCTTTAAACTTGGTTAAAAGTGTGGACAAAGAGACACTCAATCAAGCGGCTGCTCAGCTGTTACCGAATGCGCCTAAGGAATTGTATCTATCTGTGGGTAGCTTAGTTGCTAAATTTTGTTTAGGAAGAAATTGCCAAGGACCTGAAATCGAAGCCATATCTAAAAAGTTTACAGATGGCCTGAAAAGATGTAAGCCAAATACTAAAAAGGAAGAAGAACGCATTGTGTATATTTTAAAGGGAATAGGAAATGCCAAAAGCTTAAGTGACAATACTGCCGCTGCCCTTAGTGAGTGCGCCTCAACGGGCCGCTCCAATCGAGTACGTGTAGCTGCTTTGAAAGCATTTTCAACCATTGAATGCAATGGAGAGCTGCAAAATAAGGCTTTTGAACTACTCAAGAACCGCAACGAGGACTCAGAGTTACGCATTGAAGCCTATTTGTCCGCTATTTCATGTCCCAACGCAGAGGTGGCCAACCAGGTTTCAGAAATAGTCAATTCCGAAACAGTTAACCAGGTAGGAGGATTTATTTCATCAAACTTAAAAGCCATTCGCGACTCGACAGACGCCAGCCGTGAGCAGCAAAGGTACCATTTAGGGAACATTCGAGTGACTAAGAAGTTTCCTGCGGATTACAGACGTTACAGTTTCAACAATGAGGTTTCCTACAAACTGGAATCCCTTGGCCTTGGAGCCAGTTCTGACTACCAATTAATTTATTCGCAACATGGATTCTTACCCCGATCATCTCGTATTAATGTTACAACTGAAATTTTTGGAACTAACTTCAACGTATTTGAAGCAAGCGTACGTCAAGAAAATTTTGAGGATGTGTTGGAATATTATCTAGGACCGAAGGGGTTGCTAAATAAAGATTTCAATGAAATTGTTAAAATCATTGAAGTTGGAAACAACGCAGCTGTTGGAGCTGGTGGTCGAGCCCGACGCTCAATTGCCGACGATGTTGCTAAAACATCGAAAAAGTATAAAACTTACGGCAGCAAAAATGTGAAGGATCTCAATTTAGATATATCATTGAAACTCTTTGGTTCGGAGTTGGCGTTCTTAAGCCTTGGGGACAACATACCAAGTACTTTGGATGACATCATAAATTATTTCTCAAATTCTTTTGAAAAGGCAAAACAAGAACTCTCTTCGTTTGAAAAGCAACTTTCCAGTCACCACCTATTCCTTGATACAGACCTCGCTTATCCAACTAGCATTGGAGTACCTCTGGAAATCGTAGCTCAAGGCTTTGCAGCTACCAAAATTGATCTTGCTGTTAACCTTGATAT